CCCCCTTCTCTTCTCTCTCTATGCACCATCATCACCATCACATGTCTCAATGCAAAAGAAACACTTGGCTGGGTGCTGAATTCCATACCTCTTCCATAGCGTAGCATGGCAACTTATTATTACGGAATCTTATCTGCCTTTGTTTTGTTTTTTTTCCCCATCAGATGGCTTTGCTCTCAGCTCTCAGGCAGATTGCTGGCATCTCTGCTGGCCCACTCTCTGATGCCCTAAAGGCAGAGCTGTACACCCTTGTACTTGGCACCTTCTCCCTGCCAATCAACATTCCAGGAACCAACTACAGCAAAGGGCTCCAGGTACTGTTCATTGCTTGCATACCTGAAAACATCAGAACAAAGAAAGTCGAGCTGAACGAGCCCTCTAACAGCAGCAGTGTTTGTTTTTCAGGCAAGGAAGAAGCTTGTGGCAATGCTGCGGCAGATGATCGCGGGACAGGAGGTCCTCTGGTTGCGCTCAAGATGACATGCTGGATGTGCTGTTAAGAGGTAATGAGGGTACCAGGGCGAAGCTCAGTGATGACCAGATCATTGACCTTCTTATCACCCTCATATACTCTGGGTATGAAACCGTGTCGACCACCTCGATGATGGCGGTGAAGTACCTATCGGACAATCCGAAAGCTCTTGGACAAATCAGGGTACGTATACTTTGCAACCAAGTTCAATTCCACACCAAAACAATTAGTCCTATAATCCATGAGCTTAAGGGGATGATCTGTTGGCTGTTGCAGAAAGAGCATCTTGACATCAGGAAGGCAAAATCACCAGAGGATGCCCTTGACTGGAATGATTATAAGTCAATGACCTTCACCAAAGCTGTAAGTTGGAGATGATACACCCAGAAAGCAGTCAGAGTAGAATTGTACTATGGACACGACAAACTAATTTATTCTTCTAATATGCAGGTCATTTATGAGACTCTAAGACTAGCTACAGTTGTCAATGGGTTGCTGAGGAAAACTACCCAGGATGTAGAAATGAATGGTGAGAATCCTACAGGATCCATACTTCTACTACTGATAGCATGTTTATGCAAATCTCAAGCTAGTTCTAATGCAATATTATGTATTTATTTCAGGGTATGTTATTCCAAAAGGCTGGAGAATTTATGTCTACACAAGGGAGATAAATTATGATCCATTCCTGTACCCGGAACCAATGGTTTTCAACCCATGGAGATGGCTGGTAAGGAATAGAACAAGCGTCTCAGATAATAAATAGGCACCAAGATCTGTCACAAAATTGTCTAACCTGACAATGCTTGCTGACAATAGGAGACGAACCTGGAATCACATCCACACTTCATGTTGTTTGGAGGAGGTGCCCGGATGTGCCCAGGGAAGGAAGTAGGAACAGTTGAAATCGCAACTTTCCTTCACTATTTCGTGACGCGTTACAGGTCTGTTCCTGTCACAAGTTTTTGATACTAGCTATACAAAAACCTCCAAAGCTCTTTACTGACAAAGACTTGTTGCTGATCTTCTCTTGCAGATGGGAGGAGGAGGGAAACAACACAATATCAAAGTTCCCCAGAGTGGCAGCTCCCAACGGGCTACATATCCGAGTTCAAGATTACTGAACTTGTGAGACATTTTGCGAAGTTTAGATAGGATTCAGACTCAGATAGAATAACCCTGCGATGCTGATGCTGCTGGCCTCTTGAAAGGATTATTAGAACAGCCATTGGTGCTTGTAAAATGTGTCCATGCCAATAGGAATATTATAGGGAGGATATAGGTATGATAGGTTTACTAGGAAATTGATGTAGAAAGCCACCAGATGCTCCTGTATTCTTTTGGTCCAATTTTCAAATTTAAACAGAAGTATCATTGGGCTTCTATGCTTTTGAACATGATACATAACCAGCTATCCATATGCAAATTTCCAGCTTGATGAGCCTGTTGAATAAAAAATGCCAATAGCCAACTGATCTAAAAATGTGGATGAACACTGACTGCAAAACACACAGACGAGGATATGCTAAATTGGTAACTGCTAATTGCTAATGGAGGAACAAAGTAAGAGTAGAGGCTTCCAATTGCTTATATATAAAAAGGCAAGAAGGAGCTCATGTTCACAATGCAAGTTCCTTCAATTGGTTAGGCAACACATTGATGAAAGCAAAAGCACTCTCTTCCCCCCGACGGCACAACATAACGGAAGGCAATATTAACTGCTGCTTCAAAAGATGCCAATAGTTGTTGAAATCTAGAAGCATCATCATTGACAATGTTCGGTGCAAATGAAACTGTATTGTCCAACGTATTCCGAGAACAATGCTGCTAATGCGCTACTAGCAAATCTCAAAATTGTAGATAATACAAGATTTCAGCTTTCGGCGAGGGGTAAAATTTTCCCTGGGACAACCAATATACTTGATAAGCCATGTAAATAAATAGTGCGCAAAAAAGAATCTAACAGAGTTTTTGTAACTTGATTCTATCTGTTTCAACTCTGTTGCAGTAAAACCTATCATCATCAGGGCATCCATAATTGGTGATCTCATTTCACTTCAGTTTAAAAGATAAATAGTTCTGTTCATTCAATAAATGAATACTTCTGCACTTTTTGTTTTCTCTGGCCTACCAGGAACAAATTGTGAACGACAAAACTCCTAACACTAAAGAGTATGTTATGTAATTCATAAAAAAAGCTTTATTCATAAAGCTATTACAGATTGCAGGGTACCTTTTACGCATTGCATCAAGTACTGAAAAAAGATCGTGAATCTGAAAGTAGAATGTCCGGAATCAGTGCTTAGAATCTAATTTATGTATCTTCTAGCTGAAATACAAAAAAATTGCAACAAATGCTCAAGCAGTCAAGCTTGACAGTAAATGCCTAGCCTAACTGCTTTCCACATCTACATGAAAACGACCAACCCAGAAGATACAAATCAGACCGGCCACATGGACAAGAAATACAGGCAGAGTGTAGGGCAACCACATGCATGCACTCACAAGAATTGACATGCAAACTCCATTCTCCATTCTGTCAGTGCACTTTTCAGACCAGATCAGAACTTTAAGTAACAACAGTCCACGACAGTTTTATGAACAATCGTGCACTGCAAGATCTATGATACTCAGAACTAATTGCAAGTAACAACAGACAACGACAAACTCGTCATCGTTGTATGAACAATCGTCTCGTGATTTATAACTGGGCACAAGAGTTGGTACATACTCAAGCAGAAGAAGGCATATGCAAAGTAACAACCTGCCATGATGGCATCCCATGTGGTGAAACAAGTACAAGAGATGCAAATGCGTTGTATGTTCCCCAAATTCTGTTGCACCTGGAAATCAGTGGACTGACAGTTACTGACATGGAGCAAGGCAAGCATCTGCACACAAGTCAGAGTGTACAGCCGTCTTATTCACTAACAAGAGATAGTTTATATTGAAAAAGGAAATAGCAATATCATACTAATCGACAAGTGCAAAAGTCTCCATAAGAGAAAAAAAACAAGGGCAAAAGTTTAAGACTTTGGTGTCAAAAAACTTCCCCACTTTTATTTGCTTCAACAATGCATCACAAACCTTTGTAGTATCAACGTCAAATCTACCATTGCATGTGGGATTGACACGGTTACACATCCCACCTGGAAATCCTTTTCCTGGATGGTTCAAGTAACATATTAGTACATGTGAAGCAATAATGCTTCCTTGACACATCTCTCTTCTGATGGATGACACACCAGAAAGAAGCTGGAGGTTCTGTTAAGAATACTTTGAAAAGAACAATCTCAGGGTCAACAATCATTCTCCACAAAGGGATCTCTGCCAGTTCCATTGAGCCATAAAATTGTGTGAAACCACCCCACCAAGCTCGGTGTGATGTTCTTGTTTAGCTCTGCTTCAGTTTTTTTCCTCTACATTTTTTTTGGGTTCTGACTTCTTCTCTGTTAATAGAAGAGTTCTCCTCATCTCCTGCCGTTCTGTTCAAAAAGATCTCTGCCAGTTCCATATTAGACACTTGAGTATTGCTCAGAGGCTATATAAACCGAAATTGTAGTCTCTCTGCAATGTGAATACATCCCCTGCCATATACACAATATGAGGAACAATGAGGTTAAGACACCCAAGAGATACATCATTGACTATATATACTCCTCAATTTACAGTTTCTCCTGCACTTTTACATATAATTGTATTCATGGATAATAGCTTCTTCCTATCTCAAGTATCTTTGACAATTGCACCCAGCACAAGGAATCAACCTTTGAAGCTCTTCATCCTCTGAGAGCCTTGTCACAAAATGGCGTGTGGATTGAGTGCCAATGTCAACTGTGTCTACATGTTCAGATATTAGCAATTTGATCTCAGAAAAGACAGCCTCCACTTCAAGAATTTCCGCCCATCACTAAAGCTATCTGGCTTCAGGTTAAGTATGTCTATGAGGCCATGACCCACAGGCAGCACTATTATTAGGCCTTATTTTATGATCAAACAAAGGCTCTCCTTGAAGGTTGTTCCACAGTTTAAAGAGCACATTTCAGCAAATTGAGAGTGAATGCCAACTTTGCATTGATCCAAGGATCAGGAGATCCTAGAAGATCCATCAAAAAGAGCTAGAAAAATATGGCCTCTCATATTTCCGTTCGTCTGATGCTTATATCATAGAATATCACATCCAGATCAACTGTTCTGGGACTATATCTTCATCAGTTTTGGCATACATCCTACTCGATTTATTTGACTCGTCTGATTAAATCATGTCGTCCAAGCATGTTTGTCCATCTTACAACAGAATATATGAACAGTGGTTGATCAGGTGCTGTACTGATCGTATCATCCACGTTGCTCCCTAAAGCAATGACAATCACTTGGCCTTGGGAGCTTGCACTGACATAGGATTCCACAAACAAATGGTGCCTCGGGAAATGCATGCCTGCTTTTGTCAATGACCCAACAAGCTCGGTACTGCCAACATGAGAGGAAAATTAGCAAACTGTTTCAACTGTCAATTTAGGAAAAAAAAATGAAGGACAGGTTACATCAGAATGAGCATTTGAAGGTAAACAAGCCTTTGAAACGGTAATCTGCAGCAGAGGGGTTTTCATTTCACACATCTGTTAGCACTGTGTCAGTAACAATGCGAAGACCCAGAACAGCGGCAACGCCGGCAAGATAGGATTCCAACAGAGCAACAGTGGCCGGTGCTGGAAATTGATAAGTCGGAGCCGGACAAGAATGGCGGAATCACTGTGGCCTCGAGGCAAGAATGCGACAGGGTTCTTATACAGTAAACAACAACGCCGACAATAACCGCTAAAACTAGTTGGGAAAACTTGTGGCAGGCAGGATAGGAATCAAGGGTTCTACTGCAAATGTCAACATGGATGTGAGAAGAAACAACTCGAGTGCCATTCGACGGGGGCAGCGAAGAAGAGATCAATACCTCCCGAGAGGAAAAACTTGGATCGGGGAAGTGCGGAGGAGGCCGGATTTCATTTCATTTGAGGCGGCGCAGGCGGAGAGGAGAACAGCGCTGCGCCGTGCGCCGACCGGGGAGGAGAAACAAGAGGTTACGCGAACAGACTAAGAAAGCGAACTCATGGAATACGCCTTCCCTGTTATGACGTTTCTGCCCCTTATCCTCAGAACTATGCGCAAATAAGTAATTTGCTCCAGCAGCCAAGGGGTTTTGCTGGTCCTCGTTGCTGAGCAGTGAGCAGTGGGCACAATCACTCTTCTCCCAGGAGGACTGGAGGGGCTACTGGGATTTTTGCTACCCCCCTCCATTGATGGCTTCTCTTCTTCTCCCTCCGCAGTTCACTTGCTCCCTGCGCCCTTATCATCGAATCAGGTAATCTCTCGACATAGTGAATCCGCTGCTATACATCTCAATTATCAATGCGAGTCCGCGTGAAACATGCCGGTTTCCCCCCGTTTGGTCGATGCAGTCTGTGGTGCGATAGAGGAGATTAGGAGCCAGAATTGTCTTTTTGTTCATTCTGGGATTAGAAATGCGGCTATGTCCTGTGATTCATGGACCTGAATAATGCTTGGTCAATTCATTTGGATTGTGTTGTGCGCAGGGGTCAAATGCATTACAACACAAACGTTTTGGGGAAGAACATGACTAAGTTTACAGTGAGGTTGCTTAACCGCAGTGTTAGTTTTGCATCAAGGACTTCTCAAGATGCTGTGGATGGGTTAAGCGATGAAAGTGATGGTGAAAGCTCAACTAAAAAGAAAAGCGCCCCAAGACGTGGAAGAAAGAAAGCCACCGCTGAAACTTCAGGAGGCGAAGGAGACGAAAACCAAATCATCACTGGACAAACGGCCGCTGAAGAGACTAAGGTAGTTAAGAGGAGAGGTCGCAAGAAAGGTAAATGTACATATTGGTTGCATTTTTGCAGCACTTCTGTTTCTATATGCTGCAGTTTTCATGAGTTTTGTCTACTGGGAACCTTAGCAAGTCACAATTTTTCTCTGTTCTGTTACAGCTGCTGTTGCTGCAAGCTCAGAGGAGAAGGATAAGGCCAAGGAACCGAAGAAGAGGGGAAGGAGAAAAGTTAAGACTGTAGAGGAATCTAGTGATGATGATGGAGAGCATCGGAGCAAAGATTTGATGCTCTATAATGAAGGAGAAGATCAGACTCAGATACTGAATTCTGCCAATGTTTTGGAAAGTAAAATAGAGACAGTTCTTCATGAGGATATTGGAGACGTTGACGATTTAATTCCGCTAGTGTGCTGCTTTGGACCTGCCAAATACTCCTTTATTCCTTCTGGAAGACCAGCCAATAGGCTGATAGATCATGAGATTCATGATAGAATGAAGGACATGTTTTGGTCTCCAGATAAATTTGTGAGGGCACCAGGAGGGTCTTCATCCAATGTTGCTCTAGCTTTAGCCGCGATTGGTGGAAGGGTTGCATTCATGGGAAAATTAGGTGATGATGATTATGGTCAAAGTTTGTTGTATCACTTAAACATCAATGGAGTTCAAACTCGAGCAGTTTGTATGGACCCTTCAGCGCCAACTGCTGTGTCCTTGATGAAGGTCAGAACCGAAGGTAGTCTGAAGACAAACTGTGTTAAACCTTGCGCTGAGGATTGTTTCCTGCAGTCTGATATCAACCCGGCAGTTCTAAAAGAGGTAAATATCAAACGATCATCAAATATAAATCCTGTGATATCATATCCTATGTATAATACTTTATGTTTTAGATGCAATGTGCGACATTTATTTTTTATTTATTAATAATGATATGTGATTCTTGCGTGTTTATTTTATGATCCTGAAAAGAGTATAGCTTTTCACTTTGTACACATGTAGGTGCTGGTCCTCTTCTATTTCAGAACATAAGGATGCATTTTCAAAATATTTCATAATGCACTTAGTCATATTCTGAACTTGCATTCAGACTTTTTCAGTTCTCGTATCTGGGTGCTCACAAGTCACATGTTGTGTGAGTCACTCCCTAAAGGATTTAGTACTCCCTCCCCTTAAGGCAATGTCGTGGGTGCAAAACAATCACAAGTCAGTTCTCGTATCTGGGTGCAAATATTCATGCTTAATCTTTTATGGATGTTTTAGTGCCACAAACAAAATTTTGGCTCAATAATTCTATAATTTATCAAAATATACTATTTTGAGAACCTTCCTTTTGCATTAAATTTGTGGCATGCTATACTTCTGTTGATAATTTACAATACTAGAACTCCATCTTGATGTTGTTTTATTGCAGAGATGTCGCCCTGTACATATACTGTTCAATACCTAAGAATAACCAGAGCTAGTAACGGAGATAATGGCAATGGTTTGGAGCAAATAATAACAGTTAGCAGGTAGATCTAATAAAATTTGGCTACTCAGCATGACTCATGTCGATTCAAACTTGATACAGATTATTTCCATCATAAATGGATGAATATGATTATGATATTTAAATATTTGATGCATAGGTCACGGATTACTTTACTTGTTCACAGTTAGGCCCAGTAAGAACCAAATGCATCAACCGCTGATTGCTCTGCTTTACTATCTGGTTTTTACGCAGGCCTTTGCTTTATTCTGTAATAAACATTTTAAAAACAATGTGCCTGTAAAATGTTCTATTAGGGCTCGCTATTCACTGTGTTCCGATATCATGTGTGAGAGAACAAATAAATGATACCAAATTGGATAAGAACATTTTAGCAGCAAGGCACTGACAATTGCTGCACATAAAGTATAGAACATGTACGATAATTTATCTTTACTAACTGCTACCTTTTGCATCTTATACAGGCTAAGATGTTTTACTATAATTCTTCTGCTTTGCTTGAGCCCACTACAGAGTCATCATTGTTGAAAGCTATTGATGTTTCAAAGAAATTTGGTGGTACAATATTCTTTGATCTTAATCTTCCACTTCCACTATGGTCATCCAGTAAGGAAACCAAGTTGCTCATTAAGGAGGCATGGGAAGCTGCCGATATTATTGAAGTCACAAAACAAGAACTTGAGTTCCTCTGCGGCATTAAATCATCTGAGAAATTTGACACAAATGATAATGATAAGTCTAAATTCACACACTATAGTCCAGAAGTTATTATGAAATTGTGGCGCAATAATCTCAAGGTCCTCTTTGTGACAAATGGTACCTCCAAGATTCACTATTACACAGAAAAGCACAATGGCTGGGTCCGTGGTACAGAAGATGCACCGATCACTCCTTTCACCAGTGATATGTCACAATCTGGTGATGCCATTGTTGCAGGTACCTCATTTGTTCCCCCTAATATACTTCTAAAGGATATGTTATTGTTTCATTAATGAGACCATACATTAGGCGGTGAACGATAAATGGGCTGTTTGGTTTGAAGAATGAGGTAGTCCTTATCTTCTGACTCGTCACCTCTTTTTTTTTTTTTTGTTTGTGGAATGGAATGAGTTGATCCATCACCACCTCATTTCTCACAAGCTAATAATTAGTATAGTATGAGGAATGGAGCCATTCTACCAAATTTGAGGGAAGGACTCGTGATGCACCATCTCATCTAGAATGAGGTGGTTCCTAAAACCAAAGACCCCCTAAATATTTCTTGTCACTTTTTACTAGGTGAGAGGATACTGTTTTTGTTTAAGATAATGGAAGGAACTTCTGGTCTGTGCACCATGATGCATAGCCTAGTGCATTACAATGTTTCATTAGCAATAGGTGTTATGATAACTGAAAAAAAATATTGAAGGAGACATTGCCTATTACTTAATGTCCATCTGTGCTTAGCAAAGTACCCCAGCCCAGGACCGTAACATTCTAAGTTCTGCACGCTGTGAGGGCCATCTTTGGGCATCCTACAGCTGCAACAAACACAATCAGCCTGATCGGAATTGCTGCTTGCAGCAGCACTGCTGCATGCCTACAAGTACTGTGCTTTGTAGAACAAAATAAGCAGCCGCAGCCGCTGCAGCGTCATGAAAATCACAGCCGAGCGGACCCAATGCCACTTTACTTTGGTGAGAATTATTCCAGTTTGATTAAAAACTGTTTGAACCTCACTTTATCTTTTTCTGTTTGTGGGACTCTTAAGGCTAGTTTTACTAGTCTGACATGCATTCAACTGCTATAACATTTGGTGTCTTTTTGTCTTTTCAGCCCTCATGAGGATGCTGATAATTAACCCTCACCTGGTCACAGACAAGGTTTACTTGCACAAGGCAGTCAAACATGCTATTAAATGTGGTGTCATCGATCAGTGGATGCTTGCGCGAGAGCGGGGCTTCCTTCCCAAAGAAAGAGCAGATCCAACCAGTGAGCAGTATGAAGTGAGGTCCATCACAGAGAAGGAATACCGCACACTTCCTGATGCCATGCAATCAGAAAACTCGTCAACCAGTGAACTTGCATACGTGGAGTGAAAGGAGAGGCCATCAGTGTCTATATACTAGATTCCTCTATTTATTTATGGAAACTGGCTTGTCGCTGCAGTTAGCTGAAGTTGGTATTCAGAAGAATTAGCTTACACATGCAGATTTTAGGTTGGTCGAGTAGGTTGATAGCCCCCCCAAAGTAAGACTAACATATTGATAGCATCAAATTTTCTATCGAGACAATGCAAATGTGACTGATGCCAGGAAATTTGCCTAGAATGCAACCTTTATTCATTCTTGATTTCTCTGCGACCCATGTTCTGTTAGATCGCCACCTTATGCCAGTGGCACCACTACTAGTTGTGGAATGGAGCTCCTTTGATCTTATCGGCTATGCACCAAATGTTATTTACCATGTATCCAGTGTATCAAAAATATATTATGTGACTGACCTGACCAGTCTGTTTCCTTTTCAGGTAAAAGAGAATTTTTTTCTTAACACTGAATGACATATTTATTGTATTCCAAATTGAGTCTGCTGTTGGCTGTTCTATGCCTATTACAACAAGGCATGGACACCAAGGATAGATTTTTAAAAAAACTCGACCTACCAAGGATAGATTTTGTTGTTTCGCATTCGTGCATCACTGAATAGTGGACATGGATCATAGGGACAGAAAAAGAGGAACAGAGAACAATGTTCATTTCAAGAAAAAAAAGGAACAATGAATATGGAGGAATTGTTTTACTTCATGCAAAGTAAGTTTCTGGTAGCTGTACCTATATTTGGTAGTATGCATTACATGTTCTGGTTTCTACTACTAATAAAGCACCTCATATATACATTAATGTTGGACCCAGGGTTTCAAAAGGCAGAGCTAATTGGAAGTATCAAATCGGATGAGATTTTTAAAGCCAGCTGTTTAGAAAATATAAGTTGAGCTTTCTTTCGTGAATTGCTGTCATTTGTCCTTGTAAACATTCCAATGTTTCTCAACATTATCGTGTGCATTGCTTATTGTCTTTTGTTCTTGTAAAGTGTCATGCAATTGCACTAATCATTTTGTTGTATAAGTTGCTGCGAAAAAAAGGGAAATTGAACGTCAAGTCGCCAACAATCTATTCATTCTTGAGCAATCGTTCATTTCTAGGCTCAGTGAGATGTATTGTATGGATTTTTTTTTGGGGGTGTGTGTGTGGTGGTGGTGGTGGTGGGGGGGTTGTTGTTTAGTTGTGAGCTAGTGGAGCCCTGATACTCTCTTCGTATTATTAGTCTGAAAACTACTTTTGTCCCTTCAAAAACTCTCTCCAGCAAAATCGTGGAGTAATGCTCTCCTGGGTTTGATACCATGTCAGTAGGTGTCTTTCCCCAATCATTTCCTCTAAAATCTCAAGCTGTAAAGGACTAAAGGAGAAAGCATGGCATAAGTACATCCTGTAACTAGCCATCTTGTTCTGGGTGGTGCTGATGACATCGTAGTGCCAACCATTTGTGGGTGATAAGATTAAGATAGTATCAGGTACCAAATTTTAGTAGGTCATGTCCTGTGTTCAGTACTCATGGACAGACCTCTAAATTCCTTCCCAGCCATTTAAAATATGTCAACTCCCAGTGAAGTGTCTTCTAACAGTTGTGACTACCTTTAATCTGAAGGTTACTAACTTCTAAGAGTGGGAAATCGATACTCAGCTTGTCATTATTACTTGCATCAGCAAAGCAGTGGTAGTGGTATACATTGAGTAATAAAGGCATTTACTATCTGTTGAGTTGGCATGTTTAATGAGCCAGTAATAGTGTGACATGCTGATATGGCATGAAATTCAACCAACCACTACCATATATATACTTGTCAACTAGTATACTATCCTTTGGAAAAGGTACAAATGATTTGTTTACGAATCTTGCTAAGATTGTGCTATGATACACAGGGGATAATGAGTGCTAAAATATTTTCCAAGGGATGCTGGTGATACATTCAATTTTTGTCTGCAACACCGAGACAACGCCGAGTGACAAACTGACAAGGGTATTGCCCATCTCCATTGTTAGCTCCCATTGTTATCAGGTTCAGCCTAGTGAAACTGCACAGAAACCACAAGGGTATTGCCCATCTCCATTGTTAGCTCCCATTGTTATCAGGTTCAGCCTAGTGAACTGCACAGAAACCAGCCCCCTTGGCAAGCTCTGATCTCCAGAACGACCACTGTATTCATAAGCAAGGTATATCGGCTAATCTAGCGACCGGACGTCCGGCGCACCACGTGCGTCCGGACGCCCGCTCAAGTGCTCAACCCCCCACGTCTGCTTTTGCCCCTGCCCCACGCCACGCGCCCCTAGCGCGCCCCTGGCCCAGTCCGCTAGCCCTTCGGTGAGCCATGCGCCCCACAGCCCGCCGCGTCCGCCTTCGCACCGCCCCACGCGCGCGACAAGCACGCCCCAGCACCCCCGTTTGACCGCAGCACCCCTGTCCGCCGGCCCCCAACGCCTCCGTCCGCTAGGCCCCCAGCGAGCCACACGCCCCTGTCCGCCGGCTCGACCCTCGGCCGAACAATATAAAACGCTCGAATAAAACACTTTCAACAACATGGAACAACTGCTGCAACATGAGACTGAAGCGGTTGAAACATTTGGAACATATTATTGCAACATTTGTGTGAAGCATATGAAACAACGCTCGAATAAAACACTTGGAACAACATGGAACAACTACAGCAACATAAGACTGAAGCAACTGAAACATTTGGAACATATTATTTAACATTTGTGTGAAGCATACAAAACATCCAAATCAGAACGATTGCAACATACGTCTAGAAAACAGGTGAAATATTTGAACAAATACTTGCAACATGTCTTTGAAACACTTGCAACATCCCCGATCTACTTTTGCAACATCCATATGAATTCAACTGCAACATACCTCTTAAACGTCTGAAACAATTGAAACATACAATTGCAACACAGGGGGAGAGAGAGCCTGGAGAGGGGAGCGCCATGGCCGCTGGATCTGAGGGCGTTGGGAGCTCCTTGTGGGAGAGGACGCCGGTGTCGAGGGAGGGGCGTCGCTAGGGTGGGGGAGGAGGACGCCTGGGTGGGGGAAGGAGCCGCCGGGGTGGGGGGTGGAGGACGTCGAGGTGCGTGAAGGAGCTGCCGGTGTGGGAGAAGGCACCGTCGGGGTGGGGGAGGAGGATGCGGCGATGGGGGGAGGGCGCCGCCGCCGGCCAGGGAGGGAGCCGGCGGCGCACGCGATGGAGAGGAGCGGGCCGCTGCCGGTCATGGAGGGTGCGAGCGACGCACACGACGGAGAGGAGCGGGCGCACACGATGTAGAGGAGTGGTGTCGGCTGGGAGGAAGAGAAATGCGTCCGTTCTCAACGATGGAGAGTAGTTTTAGATGGGCCATAAGGGGAGCGGGCCGCAGCTCCGCAGGCCCACGGGAGGTGCGTCCGGACGGGACGGTCGCCCGTCTCCAATCATTATCGAAGGTATATTGCTGAAAGGTATAGCGCCACATCAACAGAGTTTTGATTGGTCAATGCAAATTCCTCACTCGCGGGCTACCTCTTGATCACTGTCTTATGTTTGCTTGTTCTGCTGCCGCATGTGGCCGCCCTGTATCCATTTCCTTTCCTCCAGGGAAGGTTTTGAGGGCGCGGGTATACATCACTCGTGTCACAAAACATAAATATGTAGGCTAGGCTATAGGAGCAGGCCACGTCCCAGGAACTCGACCAGAGCACGAGACCCACGAGGATATTGTGTTCCTCGTGTGTCGCAATGCTCCAGCAAACTCTCTTGCTCAGCACTCCTGCTGTAAACACGACAGGAAGAGAACCACAACGCGAGGTAGAAGATTCCTCGTCCGCGGAGGTGAAACTAATGTTCCGTGGCCAGGTAGCCATTGTGAAGGTTGGGATGCTCCTTCCCAGGACTCAGTCCAGGAATGGCCTGCTGCGCATGCTGTGCACGCAGGAGGTAGGGGCGAGACTTATTGCTATTCCTGCCTTCCCGGTGCCTCCGATTCCTATTCCTACTCCCATTCCTTTTCCTTTGACGACTCTCTTCTGCTCTGCACACAATATACACCACTGACCACGTGAGAGAGCGATTTGGATTTTTTTTTAATTTTAACACTTTTTTCTAAAATAATTTTAAATCTAACATTTTTTTTAAACTAACACTTTTGGCCGCGTCTATTGTCATGGCGTGGTGGCGCGGTAGGAGGGTGACGTGGCGAAGACCAGGGCCGCTGACCGGTGACGTGGCAGGGTCTGTCGCGCCACCGATCTTGGCGCGGCACTGACGCGCCACGGAGCATGGCGCGGCAGGATCAGATAAATATTGCCCGCGAGCCGCCCCTGCCCTCGAGCCGCCCGCCTGCCTCCTGCCGCGCCGCTGCCCGGCCCGCCCGCCCGCCCATGCAACCAGCCACGCCACCACCGTGCACCGCCGCGTCGACCACCACCTTTACCGCTTGCATTGTGGCGAACCACATAATCTAATGCCTCTAAGGAGTGCTTGTCTTCCATTAGACACTAAACACTCAAGGGAGAACACTAAATTACTCGGTTCCGTCGGGCACACCCCAGGGAAAAACCAAAAAATCCATAATTTTGCCATTAGGATCATAAATGAGAGAATAAAACTTACATCATTCATAACCATTTCTTCGTCACTTTTAATACAACATCAGAGTATAACATTTATTAGTATAATAGCGAAATATAATCATATTATCAGAGTTATGAATAATTGAATTGAACAACGGAATATAAACATGTGAACAGAGTTACAGCGAAAATAAACATCTATTAATGACATGACGAAGAATTGATATATAAACCACGACAACAAATTATGAAACTTTCATTTATAAAAGCATTTTGTGAGAGTTATAAATAACACTACGGTCGCAGCGTAAAGGAATCATCGCTGAGCCCACCAGGAGGAATCCACACACAATGGTCAGCCTTAGCATCCACCTATCACCTGCAAAAGGGGGAATAAAACCCTAAGTACTCAATTGTACTCAGCAAGACTTACCCGAT